CTGGCTCTTTACTACAATAGAGTCAAATACTTGTGACAGACTATATAGCCTGCAAAATCTTAATTTTTTTTTTTTTTGGTCTGGCCCTTTGTAGAAAAGCCCCTTTTCCTTGAAGACACTGGAATTAATTGTTACAAGTTTTAGGAAATTTGTTATAGAACATTATAAGAAGTGTTAGGGTTTTTAAAAAAATAATTATTATTGCTGTCAATCCTAGAATATACTTTTGTGTAAGCCAGTGGACTTTTTTACTTTCCTGGACCTTTCTCAATGCAAATAATTGGAGTCGATTATTTTCCATTTTGAGATTTAAGATGGGTTCACTGGACCAGCGGGATCCTGGATGGGGATGCAGGCCTCGAGGGCAAGCTGAGCGTTGGCGCCTCCAGCCTGTGCCTATGCCACTGCTACTCACCTTTCCTCCCATGGGCAACTTGTGATTCAAGATGACCAAAGAAGAACCTGTTCCCAAAAAGGTTCAATTTAGTAAAACAGACTTCAAAGTTATGACTCAAGATGAGTTAATTCTATGATGGAAGCAGTATGAAGCATATATGCAAGCTTTAGAGGGCAAGTACACAGATCTTAACTCTAATGATGTAACTGGCTTAAGGGAGTCTGAAGAAAAACTGAAACAACAACAGCAAGAGGCTGCACACAGGGAAAACATATTTCTAATGAGATTAGCAACCAAGAGACAAGAGATTCAAGAGTGTTCTACTCAAATCCAGTACCTCAGGCAAGTGCAGCAGTAAGTGTTGCCAGCCGAGATCAGCAGTGGTAGACCCAGCGATCAATTTGCTTTTCCTAAAAATGAAAAATGAACTGGAAAAAATTGAAACAAGCCCCAAATGAACTGAGTGCCTGGAAATTTACACCTGATAGGTAAATAAATCAGTCTCCTTAGTCAAGACTTCCTTGATAGTCCCACTGTGAGAAAGCTGTGGTGGGACAGCCACTACTCACTTCCACACCAAGACTTGGACTTTTGAGCCAAAAAGTCACATTCTTAACTGTCCAGCTTGTATTGGTTAATGTAAAATTTACCAGGTGACCCTTGTATTTCTGCTTATTTCTCTTCCCCTTCCTTCCTTCAGAGCTGATGTCAGACTATTCTGAAGAAGTGGTTACCTCCCAGTCGTTCCCCTTCTAGGAATCTTACACACTTGAGAAAAGGTTCTGTGTGAAGAAAATAGAAACAGAAGTCTTAAGTCTTATTGAGACACATTCAAGCACACAGTATCATCAGACAGTTTGGAGGAATGAAAACCTAGAGATTTTAAATCCTCAATGATGATGTTGTTATGTGCCGTTGAGTCGCTTGCGACTCATAGCGACCCTATGTACAATAGCCCTAAACCCTGCTCTACCCTGTTCCAGTCGCACTGTTTCCAGCACACCCATCCCAATTACCCCAGTCACTGAATCAATCTACCTCACAGAGGGTCTTCCCCTCCTGTGCTGTCCTTCCAGCCTCCCAAGCATGATGTCCCTCTCCAAGGACCGGTCCCTCCTTACAACATGTCCAAAATATGTCAGACAAAGCCTCAGAATCCTTGCCTCCAAGGAGCAGTCCGGTCTAACCCTCTCTGGGATGAATCTGTTTGTTTTCTTAGCAGTCCATGGTATATTCAGTACTCTTCTCCAGCACCACAGCTCAAAGGCATCAATTCTCCTATCATCCCTAGTCATTATCCAACTCTCTGACACATAACAAGTGATTGCAAAGACCATGGCCTGTATCGGATGCACCTTAGTCTCCAGAGTGACACCATTGCTCTTCAGTACTTTGGAGAGGTCCATAATGGCAGACTTTCCCATTGCAATCCTGAATAGAACATGTAAAATTCTAGTAAAAGCTAGAATGGAACATGTTTTGCTCTTAACGTTGAGCATAGTGACTTAGAGACATTGTATGTTGTTATTTTGTGCTGTCGAGTTGCCTGTAAACCATAGTGGCCCTGTGTACAGCAGCTCTGAAGCCTGCTCTGTCCTGAGCTAGTCTCACTAATTCTAACACACCAACCCCTATTGCCCTAGTTACTATATCAGTCCCTCTCATTTGGAGTCTTCCTCTCCTGCGCTGCCCTTCCACCCTTCTTAGCATGATGCCCTTCCCAAAGGACCAGTCTCTCCCAGCCACATACCCAAAGTATGTGAGACAGGGCTTCAAGATACAGCTTCCAAGGAGAAACTTGATTTCACCCTCTCCAAGACAAACCTGTTTTCTTTCTTGGTATGTTCAAGGCTCTTCTCCAGCACCACAGTTTAAAAGCATTGATTCTTCTTCTGTCATCCTTAGTCATTATCCAGCTCTCTGATGCATAGCAAGTAATTGCAAAGACTGTGGCCTGGATTAGGTGTAATTTATTCTCTAAATGCCAGCATTGTGCCTTTTCAGTATTCTGGAGAGGTCCTGGCCTTGAACCTCGATCCTTCGGGATTGCAGTGCATTTCCTGCCACTAGGCCACCAGAACGCCCTTTTACATTGTATATTAGCTTTGCTAATAACACTGTGGACTTGATTATTGTTGAACTTCTGGATCAAAACTTGAACGAGATTATATTGCCTTTAAAAAGTTTATTTGCTGACAATCAACTTTTAATAGTCATGGGAGAATTGACTAATAGATATCAGTACAAGTAGTTCATACATGTAACTAACAACTTTGTTTGGGGCTCTCTTACTTGGTACAGCCTTTAATCAGTGCTGTGGTCACTAATGCTGTAGACTGTACATAGAGGTGGTGTTTACAGTATTAGGTCTGGATAGTTTAAAGGATGATAAACTTTCATTTCACAACTATATTAGATTGTATAAGAGCAATGGCTGTAACCAACAACCAGGAGAGGATAAAATAGATGAATGTGATCTTGTAAGAATCAAATTCCTATGCACATCCAAAAACTTCTTCAGCTGGGTAAAAAGGAAAGCCACAGACTGGGAAACTATATTTAGTAATGACATGCTCTCCAAAGTACTAAAGAGCAATGATGTCAGTCTGGAGACTAAGGTGCACCTGATACCATGGTTTTTGCAATTGCTTGCTATGCATCAGAGAGCTGGACATTGTCTAGGAATGACAGAAGGAGAATTGATGCCTTTGAGCTGTGGTGCTGCAGAAAAGTATTGAATATACCATGGACTGCTAGAACAAACAAGTACATCCTTGAGAGGGTTATGACAGGCTGCTCCTTGGAAGCAAGGATTCTGAAGCTTCATCTGACCTACTTGGTACATGTTGCAAGGCGGCATCAGTCCTTGGAGAAGGACGTCATGCTTGGGAGGGTGGAGGGACAGTGCAGGAGAGGAAGAAGCTCGATAAGATGGATTGATTCAGTCACTGGGGTAATGGGGATAGGCGTGTTGGAGACAATAAGATTGCAAATGACTAGAGCAGGGTTTAGGGCTGTTGTATGTAGGGTTGCTATGAGTCGCAGGCAACTCGATGGCATATAACAACAATGACATGCTTGATAAGGGACTTATATCTAGAATTTATAGAATACTCAAGCACCACAACAAGATAAAGGTAAACAACCCAACTGAAAAATGGATACAGGATATGAACAGACACTTCACCAAAGAAAACATTCAGATGGGAAACAAACACATGAAGAAATGTTCAAAATCCCTAGCTCTAAGAGAGTTGCAAATCAAAACAACTATAAGATATTATCTCACCCCAGTAACAATAGCAAAATTCAACTGAGCAGCAAACAGCAGATGGTGGCAGCATTGTGAAATAACTGGAACCCTTATTCACTGTTGGTGAGAGTGTAAAATAGTACAACCATTATGGAAGGCTGTATGGCACTTTCTCAAAAATTTGGAAATAGAAATACCATTTGACCCAGCAATTCCACTACTGGGAATATACCCTAAAGAAATCAGAACTGATACCTAAGCAGATTAATACACACCCATGTTTATTGCGGCTTTGTTCACAATACCAAAGACTTGGAAACAACCCAAGTGCCCATCAACAAATGATAGAGAAGCTCTGTTAATATTCACACAATGGAATGCTGTGTTTCATTTAAAAACAGGTAACTCATGAATTATTACACAAAACTGACGACCTTGAGGACAGTATGTTGAGTGAAACATCTTCGTTAGAGAAGGAGAGATACTGCTTAGGGCCACTGATGTAAAACAGGACTGACATCTGGGTTGGGGGGAGACTGAGAAAGATTGGATAAGTAATGTGTATAGCATTAAAACAGATGAGGGAGAAAGCTATGAAAAGGATATGTGATTAGGTATTATTGTCATGACAGGAGTCCAGAACGAAGGCTGCATAGTGGTGTGGACTTGGGGGGAGGGATTATATAACAATGAAAGAATTTTTCTTTTACTTTTCAAAGAGAAGAGCGAATTTCGGAAAGGGGGTTGGGCAGGGAGAAAAGTGCAACAATGGATGAATGGAAATCCTCAGTTTCTGTAAACTTTCATTAAAATTAATAATAATTTAAAAATTTAAAAAAACTGAAAAGCACAAACACTGCATAATGCCACTGTTATAAAACAGGAATGACATCAGAGTTAGGGGGAAACTAAGAAAAGAGGGGATAAAAATTGTACACTGCATTAAAACAGATGGTGGAGAAAACTATTTAAAAGGGTTATATTGAATAGGTATTATTTGCATGACAAGAGTACAGATTCTTTACTGTTTTATTTAGATTTCATAATACTTTTTTTAAACTACACAATATTGTGAATATAGAAAAACATAATTGACATTAACTGTGAAGGATCTGATAGAATTAACAGAGTGTTGCAGCTAAGGGGGACCAAAAAGACAACGCTTTTCAAATAGAAAACATTTCATCCTTTGCTGAATGTTAATCATGATCTTAGATTATGAAAATTAATAATAAGAAAAACTTGAAAAATAATAGAAACAGAACCTTTTAGTGAAATAGTCATTGAGTTTGTCTGAATTCGTGTTTGTTCACAGAGGAGTCTCATTCCATATCTCATTTAAATACACAGGTTTCCCTATTTAGATCCACCTAATGAGAGACTTATTTTGGAAGCTCTTAAACAACTTTACCAATGTGATGCTATTGACAGGTAAAGAAACAGATGTTGATGTATTTTTTAATTGGTTTTTAATATATACCTTTCCTATCAGAAAATTATTTCTTTTAATTAATTATATTATCAAAATTAGAATTTGTCTTTCATCTCTCTTTACCATATTTCTGCATATGCTGAATGAACTAAATCTCATAAGGACACATACTGTATAAGACCATCATTATAGAAATAGATAACAAAAAAAGTTATTTACTGTGACTTAATCATTGAGTGCAAAAAAAAGGCTATTCTGTAAAAACTTGAAAGCATTTTTTGTTTAACATTGGTATTATTTAATAACTTCTGAGTACCATTTCTAAGCCAGGAAAGTATGTTGAGTTACATAAAGATAATAAGAAGTCCAAGTCCTTTTAGTCATAATTGTTTGAGGGAGGAAGATGTAATAATTATTATTGTCTTTTGCTCCAAAGGTATCCTCGCTATGCTCCTGTGCCATATTTGTATTTTTTTTATTGTACTTTTGTTGGCCTTACTGTTTTGTTTCTTGAATGTATTAAGACTTTACCAGATGAAGTTGTCTATCATCTTCCTGTTCCTCTATGATTGACCATAGTGTTCAGTGAATTGAATTGTTTACATTGAATTGAATTTCTGGGAGTATTTTTTTTTGAGGGGTGGTAATTTGAAATAATCTGAATTATGTTAGTTTCCAACATAGAAAGACTTAAGAACTTTTTCTTTCTGTTAAGGAGTGGCCATGTGACCAGAATGGGTTTGTCTATGGTCGAATTTCCTCTCCCTCCCCATTTGACATGTGCTGTAATAAAGGCTGCTTCTCTAGATTGTGAAGATCTGCTACTTCCAATAGCAGCAATGTTGTCTGTAGAAAATGTCTTCATTAGACCTGGTAAGAAGTTAATGGATCTTGTTTTATTGTAGAGAGAAATAAGAGTTTAATAAAGTAGAGAAATAAACCCTATATAATCCCTTAATGGTATTTTTTTTCTTAATTATTATGACAGTTATGTACATTATAAAAAAATTTGACATTTATTGAAAACAGAAAGTAGGGGGGAAAGATCTATGATCTAACCACAATAAGGCAATTAGTTAATTTGTTATTTTGAGATATAATAGTTTGTGTCTATGTGACTAAAATACATTCTTTTAGAAAGTTATTTTTAAAACGTGATGGTGAGATTTGAATTTTCTTCTTTTCTTTCATGTCAGAACTTTCTGAAAGTGCTCAACTTACGATTTACTTTCCATTTAAAGTGACCACATACAGAATCCTGTAACATAGCTAGTTCTCTTCTATAGTGTCTATTCGTAGTCTTCTCTGTGAGATGGTCAGCAGACTACTAAAACTCTTCAGTTTGTTAGTTCATATCGAAGTTTGGTAGTGTAGTCAAATACTGCAGTTCTTGAAAATCTGCTTATTAGAAATTGTTGGGGACATAGATATAATTTAGATTATAATTATAAACTATCTTGTTAACTATTAATAGCTCCTGATGATCTGGTTAACATGTAAGCCTCCTATCTAGTTAGTTAGAATGCTTCTTTAGCTGTTCTGTAGTTCAGCATTTTATTATTATACTACTACTATGTTTTTCTAACCTAGTATGACTTTTACTGATAGTCTTTATTCTTGCCATCATTTTAAATTTTTACAGCTTTTCTTTATTGTATGCTTAGGAATGTCTTTTCTTTTTGATAAAGACTTTTTATTAGTAGACTATAACTAGGTACTTTTAAAAATTCTAATACTTAAAGATGCTAATTAAAATGGTCAGTATACTTAATTTGAGCAGTTCAGCTATGTCTTTACACTTGAAAATATATTCACCATCATTTGTTTTTAGGATGCTCGGAATTTATTTTTAGTTTCTGCAAGATTTTTGGTCTGTCAAACATTAGAATTTCTAAAGTACAAAAAAAAGTACTATGGTACAACCAAAGAGAAGTTAAGTGATTATAACTTTAAAAAATCAATAGACATTTCACGTAGTATCTTACACTTTATAACATTCTTCTCCTTGTCACGTTAGCTCAGGAAAAATGTTTTCAACACTGGAGTGTTGTATTTAATTGGACTACTATTATCAGGTAAAGTAGTATCAAAGTGAGTTTAAATATAGTAATTAAAATGAGAAAAGTTAAACTAGTAGATGCCAGCCAAGTAAAGACCTAATTGTCAATGAATAATACTATTCACAATCAAGTTTTAAGTAATTGAATATTAAAGTTCCTGTCAATAGCCATTGGCAAATCTAACAAAGGAAAATAGAGAGAAGATTCAGATAACACAAATAAGAATTGAAGTGACTGACATACGACAGAACTAACTGAAATAAAAAGGATAGTGACAATGCTGTGAAGAACTCCAAATAAATGTTAAAACCTAAAGGAAGTGGAAGAATTTTCAGAATCTTACAAGCTACCTAAACGAAACACAGACATAATATTTACATGGGCCTGTTGCAAAAGAAGAAACTGAACATACTCTAACTGAAAAAGGCCTGGACCAGTTGGTTTCACTGGTGAATTCTGCTAAACATTCAGAGAAAACCTGACACTAATTGCTACATGAACTGTTGCATAGTATATGAAAAGATGGAATATTCCCAAATTTATTTATTCTATGAAATAGACATAAATAACCAGATACCAAGAAATATCCTGATAGTCAGTCAATTAAAGACAGCACTAAAAAAAAATAAAAATAAACAAATTATAATATCTGTCATGATTCTAGTTAAAAAAATTCTCAACTAAACCCTGGTCAGTAGAATCTAAGACCATTTCAGAAAAATTATCTCATAATGATCAAGTGGCATTCATACCAGCTATGTGGGAATGGTTCAACATTAGAAAAACAATCATTGTAATCCACTACATTAATAAAACAAAGTAAAAGAACCACGTGATCATCTCAGATGATTTAGAAAAGGCATTTGACAAAATTCAACCTGATAAAACATTCAACAAATTTGGAATAGAGGAAATTCCTCAGGATAATGAAAAGCATATATTCAGAAGCAACAGCCAGCATTACTCTTGATGGAAACAGATTGAAAGCTTTCCCCCTTGTAAGTGGGAATCAGAAAAGGCTGGTTTATCTTTGTCATTACTTCTATTCCACATTATATTGGAAGTCCTAACCAGAATAGTAAGGCAAGAAAAGGAATAAAAGATGTCCAGATTTACAAAAAAAGAAAATAATTTAGCTCTATTAGTAGATGATAAAATCCTATACATAGATAATTCCAAAGAACAAAAAAATACCTGAATTTTGTTGTCTGATTGATTCCACAAAGTACAGGTCATATGATCAAAATACAAAAATCAGTTTCCTTTACAGTAAGAAATACAACTCTGAAAAGGAAATAAGGGAAATGGTATCACTTTACAGTAGCCACCCACAAGATGAAGTACTTAAAAATAAAGGAACATGCTTGGAAAAGTGGAAGGTCAACAAAAGAGAGGAAGAGCCTCAACAAGATGAATTGGCAGAGTGACTGCAGCAATGGACTCACGTGTGTCAGAGATGGTGAGGATGGCACAGGACAGGAGAAGGTCCTTGTTCATGGAGTCTCTGTGAATCATACTCAGCTTGATTGCACTTAACATCAACAACAGTAAATTTGGGAAATTTTGTCAACAGTTGCAAGTTAGAATTTTTAATAGAGTCACTACTTGGAAGCTTTTAGTTGTCCTGACTTTAAGATGTGTGGGATTTTAGAGCAGTGAAGAAAGTAAGAAGATAAGAAATGAGAGTATGAGTGCACTCAGTGAACATTCATGCTTTGGTTTTTTGTGGCTTAGTGGTAGTTGTTCAGAACAGCAAATACTAACTAAAGAGTTGCAAGGTTACCATAACCCTGGAGAGTTGACATTTTCCATCCAAGCAAAAATTGATCACTTGAAAAGTAATCTGCATTTCTCCAATTATACCTTTGTTTTTTATTGTCACCATCTGTAGACACTAAATCACATAATCACAGTGATTGAAGCAACTCAGTATTTGATATGTTCAATTTTTTTTAATATAAAGACGGTGCCTTTGAAGACTAAAATCTTTTTTTGAAAAATAAATCTGACCAGAAATAGAAAAGACCTGTGCACAGCAATAAAACCTGATATCCTCAAAAAGAAATTATAAAAATTAGGGCAGGAATAAAGGAAATAGAAAACAGAAAAGCAGTTGAAACTATCAACAAGACTAGTACTTGGTTCTTTGAAAAGGTCCATAAAATCGACAAACCACAAGCAAAGCTAACAAAGAAGGAAAAGACACACACAGATAATCCAAGAGATGAAAGAGGAAACGTCACAACAGAACCAAATGAAATAAAAAGGTTAACGATGGAATGTTACAAAAAAGTATTCTCAATTAAATAGGGAAAACCTAGAGGAAATAGACAAATACTTGGAAACTTACAACTTACCCAAACTGACACAGACTGAAGTATAACACCTGAATAGACTCATTACAAAAGAAGAAATTGAACAGGTTATAAAGCAACTTTCAACCAAAAAAAGCCCTGCATCATATGGTTTTACTAGTGAACGCTTCTTATTGCCTTTTTGTTACTAGTATAGCATTTTTTTACCAGTTTACTGTTCTAGCTAGGGTAATTTGTATATTCCTGTCATGCTGGAGTCTAGTGTTTAAAATACCAGAAGGGATGCCCAATTTCCAGCAGAGACCTTATATTAAGACAAACCAGGAAACAGGATTGGCCATCTCCTTCTGAAATAACAGGCCTCTGAAAACCCTGTGAACAGTAGAAGAATATAATATTAGAAGTAGAGCCCAGATTGGAAGTCACTCAAAGTAAGGAGGAACAGCAGCAAGCACCCTTTAATAACGGAAACGTGGAAATTATGAATGTAGGAAAACTAGAAGTCAGGGACCTCAAAGGTATACTTGATTCAGGCCACGATCATTTCAGTCACTTGCTATCTGAAAGCTCTATCATGAATAAGGATTACAGAGGAAGAGTTGATGCCTTTGATCTATAGTATTGGAGAGGAGTACTGAATATCCCATTTACTTGCAAAAGGACAAACTTTTGTTGTTGAGAGGGTACAGGCAGAATGTTCTTCAGAGGCAAAAATGATAAAGATTCATTTCCACTTTTGAGCATGTTGCTAGGAGAGGCTGTTCTTTCGAGAGGGACATCATGCTTGGAAGGGAGGAGGGTCCACAAAAGAGAGGAAGGAAGATCCTCGATGAGATGGATTGACACAGTGACTACAGCTGTTGGCTCAAGTGTTTCAGAGATGATGGGGATGGCACAGGACAGGATTCAGATCTGTTCATTGGGTGGTTATGGGTCATACTTGACATATAACAGCAGCAACATACATCTTTAATTCCCCCCCCCCCATTTCCCTTTTCCCCCTGTGCACTCCTCCAATCTTCTTTGCTCCAGACAGTGAGAGACCAATACTACATCTTGGATAGCTACTTGCAAACTTCCAAGACCCTAATCACTGCTAATCAAGAGTTGGTAGAACATTGTCTTTTTTTTAAAAAATTTAATTTTATTTTATTAGTTTTAATGAACATTTACAGAGATTTTGGGGTTTCATTCATTCATTGTTGCACTATTTTCTCTACCCTCCTCCCCAGTTCGTTCTTCTTTCTTCGCTGAATGTCTGTTTTAATTGTCCAATTGCCACAGTGCTTGTCAAAGCCAGTTCTGATTAATCTCCTTTGTCAGTGTGTCCTTTGCCATTCCCTATCACTCCTCCCTGAGAGAGACTTCACCCTGATTCATAAGGAAAAGGGGATGGCGTATTTTCTTAGCTACTTCTAGCTGAAAAGGGATGCTGTAGGTTTCAGGGTGAAGATCTTCTCTCACTACTCTAAAGGGCCCCTTTGGCAGTAGGAAACAC